CCGCACGTTTGATGTGCACGTTAGTAATTTGCGACCTGCCACCCCTTTCAGGAGTGGGACGCTCCCGCTCAGGACATCACTGTAGAAACAGGCGGGCATACGCGACCGGTGAGAGGCGACATTGGTGGCCCCACGGGCCGCAAGCCCGATAGAAACGGGTGATAGGGATGCTTGTTCCCAGTGGGATGACGAAGACGTTGTGCCTCTAGCTCGTTTACGTTCCCTTCCAGAACAGCATGATGGCGGATTGGTGGACAACCGCGCTGATGGCGGCGGTGCTGATGCTCCCGATTGCTATGAGAGCCAGTGACATACACCAGCCATCGCAGGGTATCGTGTTTGTACCGAGGGGACAAATAAGCATAAGTCAAAGCACGTGGGCTTTAGCTCTAACGGTAAATTTTACGGCTATTCAGCAATATCTCACCGCGCTTGAGATCCAGCTTGCAGATATGCTTAAGTTGCCGCCGCCACCACAGAAAGCCACATCCTCCAGCTCAGTAACCGCATACGCTGACCAACTAAGGGTCCCACTGCAGGCCCTGCTTAAAGAGCACGAGGGGTGGTTTCAACGCCGCCTCGAGATCATGACACAGCAGCTCAAGGATCTGCATTCTCTGCATCATGGCAGAGACAAACGTGCGATCATTAGCGCAGTTGGTAAACTCTCGAAATTTTTGTTTGGGACAGCGACACAAGAGGATGTCGACGCATTGCAGCAACGCATTTTATCTGTGGGGGCCACACAGCAGGCGATTCTCGCTGCCCTAGATGATTCACTGACAGTTATGAATTATACACGGGTCCGGACTGAACTAAATGAGCGTAACATAACTGCCTTGCTGTATCGTACGAGTCGGCTTACGACAGCAGTTAATAGTATTATGGTCAAACTTGATAATTGGCAGGCAGCCACGCAGCATGAGTTTATAGTTTTAACTAAACTACAATTATCGTTGTCGGCAATGAAATTAGCGTTTGATCACGGGCGTGCTGCGATAGACGCAGTCGTACAGTCGGTCGACGTCCTTCTTGCGGGACGTCTACCGGCCACATTAGTCCCAGCACACCGTTTACGCGAAATTCTCATGACTATTCAGGGCGCGCTGCCCCCGACACTAGCCCTGCCACACGATCCACAGAGCGATCTGCTATTCTATTACGATCTTATAACGGCAATAGCGATTCCTGATAGACTTGGCCTTCACGTCCTAGCATTCATACCACTTAGATATCGCGATATGACGTTCCAGGTCTATCAAATTCTACGACCCCCAGTCTATTTACATAACACTACGGCAGCCGCATATTATAGTTTTAAACAGGAATATATAGGGATATCGCTTGACCGGGTCAGCTACATACAACCTGACGAAGGCGCGCTGCGAGTGTGTTTACGCAAGCGACAGCAGGTGTGTCATGTTAAATCACCGGTATATCCCGTATCGGTTGTCACGTCTTGCCCAGTGGCCCTATTTCGAAACATAACAGCGGACATCAAGGCCTTGTGTACTAAGCGGGTAACATTTTACGCGAGAGCTACACCTAAGGCACAATATCTACTCAACGGGCGGTGGTTAGTTTCTAGCCCCCACCCGCTGAGGATTTCTATAGGTTGTCAGGCACACCCTAAGGCGGAGGTACAGGTCCGTGAATTTGACATGGTACGTCAGCAAATCATCACGCTACATTCGGCATGTAAAGGCGAGTCGAAATATTTTTCACTCCCATCGTTTTATCATCATGAATCCGATGAGGAATTCATTTCGCCACTAGACGCCGTGGGAGTGATCTCCACGGGAGTCCCCAATATGTGGGCGGACTATTACGCGCTACCAGCAGTTCAGAAGGCTGGACGGGATATCCAGCTCATACCTAACGCTACAGTCCCGAGGGAGATGTACAGTAATACGGATTTAGACGTCGCGTACGATGAGTTGGTAGCGGCAGTGCGGCATGGCAAGCGAATTGCTACAGCCGACACATATTACGGCATGAAACCAGGTTTGGATATTAACCCGCATCATTCACCGATTTACATGTCGTTAGGTATAATGACGCTAATAATCGGAGGGCTCGCAGTACTGTATTGCTACTGTCGCAGACGCGTTCCATCCTATGCCTGGCGCCGAGAATCTCCCCTTAGACGGGAGCACGGCAGGATACTGACTGAACGACAGGCTGACGGACCTGCCGACGGGCAAATAGCGATAGCCTCGGTTTCTCCGGTCAGACGGCTTGCACGCGTAGTTGCGCAGCCACACGAGTTCGATACACCACTGTCCGCGCCGTTCTTACCGACACACCCGCTCGTTTCCCCGCCAACCATCCCACCCCTTGAGCCTATTCCACTCGCAGATGGTGACCGGCCGGCATCCCCTGCGTTCACTTCACAGTGACGAGGGACTTGGGCCCAAAGGAGGGGGAAGGGAAGCCCGGGACGATGGGGGGGTGCGACATGTGAGGCACGGTCAACTGTATAAGCGCTCTCACTTATCGTTCAGGTGCAGCCATAGCTGACACTTTGCACTAGTGTAGTTATTTCCACGTGTTGACATAGTGCACGTCGACACGAGTTAGGGTAGGACGTGCCTAGGTCTGCACGGATATAGGATAGTTAAGAATTGCGGTGAAAGTAACTATAGTATATCATGTATTAATTGTTTCGCGCTTCGCAAATGCATGGCACATTGTTTTGCCTGTTGCAGCTCCGGAGGTGTACTATAAATGCACCACGAGAGAGATACGCATCGCCGAGATAATATGGCAACGTTACACGGCCGAACCGGTCGCGTTGCCAATACGCACACCCTGGGTCGCCCTGGTCTTACGAATGTGTAAGGGGAAAGCTACGTCGGCGCATCTGGGCAGGACTCTAGACAATAATTCATTTTTGAACCACTCAAATTTATCCCTCCCCGAATATTTAGCAATTATGTGGGCCCTTATGGAAACCGGCCGCGGCGTTGTCGCCTGCATGGTCGCCACAAAATATAAATCGACCCGCCAACCCTACCCGCCGTCCATATCCGTCTGCGAAACTTTCGGGTATGGCATCGTGCCACTGCCCCCGCCGGGCAGCGTGCATGAGGATGCGGGATGGTGGGTGGCGGCGGCGGTAGCCGACCACACGGAAATGTTTCTTCCCCTTTTAGATACCTTACATGACAGCCGCCAGGCGCCAGCCGGACTAAGCTTTCGGGGCACTACCATAATCGTCCCGTCCAGTCATACAATCAATATTGACTGGCTCGAGGTGTGGCAGTGTTGGGGGTACGAGTGCCCTTACTATTGGGTTGTGCACGCCCCTCCCCCTGACATATTCGTATTTTTGGCGATGGCCATTCCCATCCCGTACCAGTCACTGATGGACGAGGCATGGGACGAGGACGAGACGGGCCACGCCCTAGACCACGGCTACGAGTCGCCGGAGGGATACGCGTGAGGCCTCATCGGGATTGATGTCGCGCGCCTCGGCTCCATACGACTCGAGGGAGAGCTGCGCGAGCGGCCTCGCTCACCCTCCACTCCAGGGTTAGTGACCCGAGCGCACCTCCGCGACTGGAGCATGCGACGGGTACGAGATAGACTCCCCTGCCGGACGCGGCCCGAGGCACAGCGACGACAGATCGGCCAGCCGCCTCGGAGTGACGCGTCCCAACGAATGACGGCGACAGACAAGCCGCAGACCGCGAGATCTCTGAGCTGTTCATGTATTATGTATTGTGTATTATGTATTATGTATTATGTAAACTAGTATTCCATTGCGTGCATTTGTGTTGTGTATTTATAGTGTATTGCGTGTGTTGCATGAATATTATTATGTATTTGCGGGTTGTTGTTTTTTTATATGTGGGAGTGTGGTATAGCTTGGGTAAATAGATTTAGGGTATGGTGGTATGGTTATAATAATGGGAAATTAATGATAATAATGAAACAATGCGAAATTGCTTTATGAATTGAGTCTCGGACAAGCTAGAGGGGTCTTGTGCCGAGGGTGAAGAGACTCGCACCGGGCGAATATTAAGTTAAGGCTCGCGTCGGACGATTGTGCGGTACTAACATTATGAGCGCCAGATGCTACGCGCGGCGGCATGCGTGCGATTGTGATCGTATATGGGTATTGGGTTTGTGGTTTTTGGGGATAGATGTTAGAGTAGTATGGAGCAAATAAAATAACGTGCCACACCCGCGCGCAGTAAACGTTACGTTACACCTACATACGCGATGCCGCGTCGCGACATCACATTCCGTCTCCCCATTGTTGATCGGGGCGATCAATAGTTCGTTTAGGGCGGAGTAGTGTAACGGAGCTGGTTCCACCACACCTAATTAATTACTGTTAGTTTGGCATAAGGCCATGCGGGTCGCGTTGGTGATAATTCAGGGGAATAGATGAGCTATTCGGTTCACACGCGATGCAGGCTGAAGGTAATAACAGAAGCAATAAGGTAGCTAACGACGTCAACAGGTGGGCCGGAGTGCGGGATAATCTATTATAACCCGCAGCCGGCGCACGTCGTGTGCAGGAAGGTCGAACAACAAGTTCGGTTAGATTTAAGAGAGCTGGGAGAGAGAGCAAAAGGCACTTCTCCTCTGTTGGTTTGACTGTCACGTATCTTTACGCTTTCAGCCTTACGTTTCTGCTTGTCACCTGTGTTTGCATTATGTCGAATACAACTCTTTGTGGTACGTTACTTTACTAGTTCGTGTTTGACTTCTTATCTTACGCTGTTGCTTTGCTCTACTCTTACTCTTACTGCTCTTGTACCTCACCCTAGAAGTACGAGGTTACACATACACATACACAGCTGGCATTCTATATTCCTGGTGTCCTTTTGTTTGAAGTATAGACATCGCCTTCTGCTTCTTACATATCAGACTTTTCGGATGGAGCTTCTCAGATAGAGTAATAACAGCTGCTGGGGTGCCCAAATTAAATCATGCCTTTCACAGAATATCACCACTGCTGTTTGGTATCATCCATAACATTTACCAACTTTTGCCATTTGTAACTTCTAAGCCGAAAAAGTGGTCATATATTTCGAGAGTGTACCAATATGAGTAACAGTATTTGGGTAATAAGTCCATAGGGTAAAAGACATTGGAGGCAGTAGCACTACCCGTATAAAAATCAATTACATCACATTAATACATGAATTTCACGAGTTGGTATCATCGGATGATGAAGACTCCTCTTCTCTTTGCATCATGGTTTGCTGCAAAATAAATAAATTACCTAAATAGGTAGGAGTAACCATCAGTGAGTCGACACAAAAACAAAGTTACATTGATGGACGTCAAATTTTCGGTAAAATTACGAATATAAAACCTAATAAGTTTTTCTCTTACTCAATGTTCGGATAAACTGCATAGCTTATTGCTATAGAAGGGAATTCATATTCGTTGTAATTAAATTCTTAGGGTATTTTGTAAATGATCACTAAATTACTAAAAATGAAAATGTACAGGATAAATAATAAATGTTAGGGTTGCATGCTAGTTAATAGTTTTGATGAAATTTAATTATAACTGAGAGTTACGCACAGATTTCAATAAGTCTATCAGTCTGCTTGGGTCGCTTTTCGATGAAATACCAGATAGATCGCGCGGTACCCTGTACTTTCCATACTGGTTTGGCTGCAAGCGGAAGTCTGACTCTACATACTGGAAGTCCAATGCCTACAGGAGAAAGAAACGATGATCAACATTAATGAGAAACTAAACATACTATACAGCTACAATAAGTCGAAATGAAAACTTGTGTATTAAAAATAGAAAAAAAGGTATGCTCACTAGCTCAGTCAGCAATGAAGTTAAAATTCAGTTTCAAGTACGTTTCCTATGCCTTTTGCGTGCACAGACGAAGAGTTCTATTCTGCAAAATCAAGTTAACAATCACAGATAGGCTAAAAATGGAGATTTAGCCAGGACGCATCAATTAAATGTGCCTGAATGAACCTAATATCATTAAAGTCGTATGGCCAATGTTTACCTTGCTCAGGCTATCACAGTTGTGGTAAATATTTTGTGAAGGAGTCGTCTTCTGATATAGATCATCCCAGGTGAAGAGAAGTGAATCGGTAACAGGACCAAATGGGTTAAAGTCTAGCAAGCACACATTCCCCGTGCCTACTCTGTATGCGTCAAACACGTCTGAAAAGAAACTGATCTATTAGCTCATACAAGGTTTGCATATCAACTGGGACGACATGAGAAAATATCCTAGATAACGGAAATCAGGATACAAATAGGCAAATTGCTGCCAGTGTAAAGGGACTGTTCCTTGGTATACTATGAGACAAACAACGTACCAACACACCGTATCACATCACGTCTAACAGGTCATTGCTTATTAGCGAGTGGTGTAGTAAGGAAGCAGCACAAGACTTTAAATAAGCATATTCTCTACGTCACAAGCATCATCACAACACAATGCTAACAGGGCTAACCAGGTCGACCTCAAACGAAAGTAAGATCCAATACGTGCTTTTGCCAAAGAAGGTCACTTATGATTGGCTTACAGTTCTCGTCTAGAAATCGCCCCTTAATTTTCGACTCGAAGAAGTCCAGGATATCTCGGCAAATTGCCTCCTGGTTTGCTTCCACGAAATCATAGTGGCTGGTAACATCTCTCTGTGAAATGCCTGATTAAAATATACAAGGGTACTATGAAAGGTAAGTGCATATATACAAGCATTATACTGAAACACCTTGAATTACTCCTGATAACAGTATAAAGTTATACATAAATGAAAGTGGAATTATCACACAGCATCTCTTGAAAGGCTTTTAAGTGTTCATAAATGCAACATTTGAATGAAATGAAAATATTTTAAGAAATAGCACAAGCTCATGGAAGTACAGAATCCATTTCAACAATAACCATACAGGAGTTAACCAAACAAGAATGCAAAAAAAATTCAAAACAAAATAATGGAAAATACAGTTTGACAAATGGCCACACACACACGTACAGACGCCGACAAAAAAACGTTAAAATTTGGAGTTCAAGTTGGAGTACAATTTGTAGTACCAATGATTTCATCGCCTTTCACAAAGCATCGGAATTCCGTACTGGGGTTGATCTCACACCATTCACGTAACACTATGTCATACTTGACACGGGTCGCATTTGCACAGTCAGCATCCTCACACAGACTGAACCTTAAACCAAAAATCAATCCAAACCAACTCAAAACCAACCAATATTAGAACACATTCTTGCACACATGCACATGTGCACACAAATGTATATGTATGCAATATGAAGATGCGAATATAGAGTTGCAGCAGTTTTTTATTGCAATTGGGCGGTAACATCGTCACTACTTTATCACATCACAAAGTACTTAGTTGCAATATCCTAAATGCTTTCGTACGGTGACAATTAGCAAGCAAATTACACGATACAGCCAATGTCATTTTCATATCAATGGTCTAGCTTGTACATGTCCATGACAGTTATAGATAAATGAAAACAAATTACGGTTGAGTCAAATCGTGTGTGACGAAATCAGAACTTTTCAGCAAGAGATATATGTCGCCCGGGGATTTACACTTCAACGTATTGCCAAATGCTATCCAGCTTGCATCCTGTAAGCAACCAAAATCAGTCAGGGGATAAGTTCATTGGGGATTTCCATCAAGAACACACAAGTAAATTTAATTTAGGATTAATCTGTTTATTAAACGTGTTGGCAGCAGTTTGGACAACCAATCTGGACGATTGGCAGCCCGGATCCGCGCGAAGCGCGAAAAACGCCGCGTAGCAGCAACACTAAATCAAATTCGCTGCACTGTTTGGAACACCTTCCTCAGGTCCCTTTGGGTAGAGGACAAAGCCGTATAATCGCTCAATTGAGCATTTGTGGCGATTCCACAAGCCTTTTCACTATGCACGTAGGTAGACATTTCATACAAATGGTCGTAATAGTTGGTTTGCTGCTCGGCGCGCGTCGTTTTTCTGTAGAAACCCGATTTACCATTTTTGCTGTTTCATGCCGTGAAATTATTCTCGTACATATGGCGTCCCATAGATGGCGCAACGAGGCCATGTACATAGCATTTTCAAGTTATTTTTCTACACAACGCTCGGCTGACTAAGCTAGACTGCTACCTGGTGGACAGTTCCACACGCTGCACTAACTATAAGTTGAGTGTAGCCAAGGATACTTGGCGGAGTGAAGGTATGTACCAGTCTAGCTACAACCGTGACATGCGCTTCAACTTCCCGTATCCATGTTGGTACCCCGGATCTTCTGATATTTGCGATGATGACGTCATAGTTACAGCATGTATATATAGCAGAGCAGAGTGCATATAGCATAGACCTATGCATAGAGCATAGAGCATATATAGTTTCGGATTCATACATATCCATCGATATTGCATCAATCCATATATCATGCCACGGTGTTGTAGTGCATACAACTGTAAGGTAATATCACAATGAATGAAGGCAGTAACTAGCAATATTCTACATGATTTCTTCAAATATTGAGCTTTCCTGTAAATAACTTTGAGTGTATTGTTTACGTTTTCCACAACTTTGCTTCGTGTCATTTCAGCAGACAAATTGTCGTGTAAGTGTACTCGTAAGTATTTTACTGCAGTCTTACTTTCAATATGTCACCCATTGCATGTCACATCAAAGTTTGTAAGTCGACTCATTTCATTTTTGCATCGACACAGAATGGTTTCTGTCTTCCCTAGGTTCAGGGATAAATTGTGTAATAGCCATTGCATTTTCAAGCTTAATTTCTCGTGGTGAACCTCAATGTCACTTGGTCAATGGTAATACTAATGTGTTGGTCTTTAGAATCTGAATTCAACATATCCAAGCATTTCTTTTTCATTACGATCTCTTTAAATACCTCTGGGCTGCAGTGTTTCATTGACATCATTGCAGTAGTACGATGCTTACCTATAACTTTTCTAATAGATTTCCTTGTATATATGTGTAGCTAAATGTATATCGTATAATTGTCGTGCTACGATCAGCAGTCTCGTACGAACAATAAGGGGAGCGATAGCCAGAGAGAAAATGCCTGCCGTCGCCTCAAATGTACACAAGTCCGCCGTACGTACGTACAGCGAACATATACACCGTCCTGCGTTTACACTGAGAATTATATTCAGTCAAGTTGGCGTTTTTCTTGTTTCACCCGCAGCACGCGGGCCGAAGCGGATTTTTGCATGTATTACATGCTGCCAGCGTGCCGCCTAAAGCAAAAACTTTGTCTACCCCTACGATCGAGGGACACGGCCGTGATTGCTGTTCTGTGATTTGCGACTTCACAGAAAAACTTGCAACTCGCCTGCTCGCAGTTACCTTGACGGTCACCGTGAGAAAAACGACATGCGGTGCCTGTCGCGATTGCGTGCCTTCCTGTGTGTGCGTACATGGGATACATATACGTCTTTATGTGTACGTGTAGCATCTAGATACACGCGTATCACTATGCGCACATCTTCAATGTATGTGTGCATGTGCAGGTGCGTGCGGGCGTGCGTGTACGCCTACATGCAAGCGTCCGCGTGCACCTGCCTGCGAGCGTGCATATGCGCGTGCGTCCATGCGTGCGCGTGCATGCATACGTTTAGCTGCTTTGTGTGGATATGCTTTGTGATCGCACAGTTCGCTGTACACGGTCATGCGTGCGCACACATTCTAATGATTACGCCCGCACGCAGGGACGCACAGACCGACGCACGTACGCACGCCCGTACCTACTTATACAGGCAGCCAAGCACGCAAGCACATAGCTAGCTGTAGTAGTACGAAGCACACAAATACGCACACACGTGCGTATACATGTATGAACGCACGCAGTCACACACCGACGCACGTACGTATGCACGCAGGCCGGCACAGACATGTGTATGGGTGCATGTATGTGTTTGTATGTGTGTGTGCGTCGCTCAGTGCGTGCGTCAGTGTCTTTAAAATGTTCATTAGGAACAATTTTTGAGAAGTCACAAAAATCCGTTTCCTCAACAAAATTATTTTTTAGCCTGGCCACAAGTCATGGCGTAACATAAGTATGTCAGCTAACACGCACAATTCACAGATAATATCAGGAGCTATGGACCGATTGACAATATTTGTGATTATTACCTCCACATTGTTTGTATATAGGTCAACATTTCTATTTACATGAATAGAGGCGTATTATTTCCGCATGTATTATTATAAAACCCAGCTTATGTATCCGCTGCAGCTGCCACTCGTTACATGAAGCCGCTGACGCATAATAAAATACAATTCATAATAAAACTTACACAACACAGTGTAGAAGTAGAAGGTGTTGACACTTTTCTTGATATTTTTATTGAACTTGCAAAGAACAGCAGCTCAATGCAGCTGAGCTCTTTCATTGTATTCCCGGTAAAATTCTCGACTGTTCGCTGGCAGCCATGGATCTGTGCGCCGACCTATGCATTCGGCGCACGGATCCATAGCTGCCAGCGCTGCATACTGTCGTAGGACGTTCCTGTGGTCGCGTGCGCCTTCGTCAGCGCTTCGAATCAACACCTCATTTCGGCAACGCTTCTCTAGTATCCTGTCTCATCTGGATGTCTTTGCCAAGTTGTATAAAGCTGATTGGGCCTTGTCACCAGATGGCAGCACATAACAAGAGCCAATGATAAACTGTGCAACATCTCTACTTCACAGCACGCTGGCAGCTAGTCCATGAATTGATAGTATGGTCACTAACGAACAGAGCCAGTCAGGTTGTCATAGGCAAGGAGATAGGAAAGCAAAAGAAATCAATATAAAGAATATCCCAACTTGCAGCTATCATCACTGGTCATTTACATAGGTAGAAAAACACTAGAAAGAAAAAAAGATCAGTGGTTACACTCTACATCAAAGGATTTTCAGAGACATTCTCACGAGTCCACCGTGCTCGTGGCATCGGCATAGCCTGCATACCACCGCTACACCGAGACAAGTCTACTTGTCAAGTGCTGCCATCTGGTGAAAAGCTCAAACAACTTTACTCAGCTTGACAGAGATAACTCGAAACTCGACTCGTCGAACCTGTTGCCCGCAAGATGTATACATGTATGTATATACCTACCTTTGGTGAACTCCAGTTGAGCCTAGGAAAGACACTTCCACCTAACTCATCAATAGCCGCCCTCAACTGTCCATCAAACTCCGAAAAGTTAGGAAGTGCTTCAGTGTCATCATCTTCAGTGTCCCAGTTCTGTAAAACATGCTTTGTTGATTCACTATTTATACCTAGGGAATATCTACAAAGCACTTTTGCTCTTTAAATGATGGATCTTCGAGCTTCGCACACACACGCTCCATAAACATAAATCTACCCATACCATACCTCATCCTCATACTCATCATTGTGCTGGCGCCTGTTGCTCTGATGAAGTTGTGATGAGTCCCCAGAACTGCAAGGAGTCATTGACATCAATTAATACCATTTAAACTTACGAAAACATACATGTTCACTCTGGTACGATAAACACTTCCTATGTGGAGCTGTATGCATGAAAGTCCTGGGAAATACTATACGCTGTTCAAAGGCACATAATAATATGTAGAAACAGTGTACCACTACCACTTATACATACCCTTCTGGCAGAACAAGTGTCCCACCATCCTGTAGGTATGCAAGTACTTCCTTTGGTAGTGCAATAATAATACTGAAACAAATAACATAACATGACAATAATAACGTGTGAAAATTTTGCATATATTTGTTGACTTGTGTACACAAGCTCACTCTATTAGTCAGTACTGGCACTACAGCAAGATGTATCTGAGAAGTAATATGCCAGGCTTTAGAAAACAATCATAGATTCATTTTATAGAGCTTATGTGGCTCTGGCCTATCGATTTGTTGATCCATTAATTTAATCAACATAAACTATCTCATTCTTAAAGGGATACTCTATCGAACTTTCAAGCGGCAAACATAAAATCAGGCAAAAATGAATTATTTTAACATTGCACGCTTCTACTTGCCTATATATATGTGATAGGTGAAAAAAAAATTCTCAGGAATACGTTCATTCAAAGCTTTTAGACTACAAAGTGAAACGTTCGGGTCGAATGTTTCAAACGCATTTACCGTTGACGCTATGCGGCGATTGTTCCGCTCGGCACACTTGCCGTGTTATACATGTATACATGTATGAACCATGCTATGTAAAATTATACACACTGGCAGGTTATGACCCAATGGTTTTCTCGTCACGTACATGGCTAGCTGATAGGGAAAGCGCAACTTTTTTGTTGCTGGGAGATTATAGCATTCTGAGCTGGGAGATTATAGTGATCGAGTGAGTCGAGAGTTCTGTCAGGTCGCTGTAGTTCGGATTACGTCAGTTTTGTTTGGTTTTTAGCACGTTCTATCTCGAAAACGGTTACGGTTAAAATTCTGAAATTAATAACATAAACAGTTTCCGTTGCCGTTCAGACGCCTCTCTGTCTAGACTACAAAGTTTGATTTCATAAAATGATTTATATTAAAAGTTATGATATCTGTATCAAAAGTGGCTACATTCACATTGACTCGAGTGAAATGATAGTTGCTCAAATATAAACAATATGGCGCCTAAGGAACCACGGCGAAAAACGTTTTTCGAGTTGTTTCTTCGATGAGGAAATATAGGCTTCATACATATTTTTACAGTTTTATTTTCAAAGCTAACGTTCAGTTAAAGTGTAGTGAGTTATTTACTGACGTTTTTACAGTGGTTTGTTACACAAATTTACGTGGAAGGTTCGAGGGAAGCTACCTTTAATTATGCTGAGAGGGTCTATGTCCTCCAGGGTACTGCCGGAACGTACCCTGGTACTAAATACTACT